ATTTTAGTTTCCGAAAACTCCATAGCGTCTTCCTCGGAGGCGATGTGGCCATTTGATAACTCTAAGACCTCCGCGAAGGTCCTTGGCTTGAGTAGGTTCAGTTCAGTCCTTGGCTTGAGTAGGTTCGGGTAATACCTGAATCATTTGTTGCCAATCCCACATTTTAGGGCGATTTGAGTGATGAGGGGCTCCAAATTTCTTAACTCCAACATTTCTTTCTAGAAACAAGTGATGTAAGCCTGCAAACTTTTATCCCCCCCCCCCCCAATTACCCCCCCCCCCCCCCCCCAAATTGATCTAAAACAAAGTCTATGCAACCTTCCTTTATTTTTTTCACAATAGCAAAGTGTGTCAGGAAGAGCTTTCATAATTCAAAGAATGATGGGATGATTCCATCTAGTAGGCGATTAAACCACCTAAGTGTAGCCTATTTCAACATGGTCTGAAAAAGCTTGCATTTCATGGAGTCATCGATCTGTAAGACTTCGTCCAATGATTCGAAAGAAGCCAGGAGGTCCGTCGGGTCACACTTTCCTTTATACGAATTGAAGTGAGGAATCCTCTGCTTCGCTGGGGGGACAATATCCAAGATTCACTGAGAGAAGGCATTGTTTATTTTCAGTTCGGTAGGTGCTCCACCTCGGTCTTCTCTGTGTCTGACCATCAACGTAGACCCCACACTGTCGGTGCGCTAGGAGTCTGCTTGCCCTTTGGTCGGCCTATCACTGGCCTGGCTGTTGGGAGCTGGCAGAATGTCGAGGGGAGCTCTCTGGGGACATGTTCCCTGAGTATCTCCCTTCCAAGGTTGCTATTGGACATTCCTTTACTTTATGGCCGCTTGGAAGGCCTCGAATCAATCCATAATTTTCACTCGCAACACGTGGACCTATTTCTGTATGTTTCGACGTATTGTCTCTCTATTGAATTCTATGGGTGTTATTTCTCTATACGTGGATTCTCCTTAGTAATTGGCTTTGCTTCTCGTCTAAGGTATGTTCCACGATCACCACACGACCTTTCAACATATTGAATTCTGAATTGTTATTCAAAAATACACGTCTCGAGACTTAGAGTTGGGAGAAGGGAGAGAGAGAGAGAGAGAGAGAGAGAGAGAGAGAAAGAAAACATTACGAAATTCTCAATAGAGAGGTCAGGTAAAATTCCTCAGGTTGGGGTCTCTTTATTCATCTTTGTACACCCTATTTATAGGGGATACATTTACAGAAATGAGTGAATAGTTATGGAAACCACCCTTAACACAATTAGCGTGTTGATTTGATACCAGATTTGCATTGTTTACTTTCTGATTTGTATTACAATTTGAATTTGAATAAAGCGGTTATCTGTTGGTCGATATGTTTGAGTTTGGTCCATCGAAGTGATCGGTCGAATGGTGCTTGTTTCTGTGAAGCAAAGTTGACCGATCATCTAGTCGTGACCGGATGCTACTAGGTCCGTAAGAGTGGCATGCCAATGGGATCCATCGACACCATGTACTAATTGACTTTGACCGAGCGATCGGTCGTCGATTGGTCAGTTCAGATAATGTTCATTTAGCCCGATGTTCTGATTGCCCGACTGTCATTCTCGGCCGTAAGAACATTTTGAGATTCATGCCGACAGTTTTTTGTGCATACAATGTATATTATAATTGTGGTGTAAAATCTTTGAGCGGTGGTCGGCACTGGGTTGTAAACGAGTTGAGTTGAGCACGAGCAACCCTGAATTTCAACTTGAGCATGAGCTTGATTAATTAAATGAATTTGAGCTTGAACTTAAAATTAATCGAGCTTGAGCTTTGACTCATGAGTCAACTTGGCTCGCTTACACCTCTAGTCAGTAGTGCCAGTCGGCTAACGGTGGTTGGTGGTAGTGAGTCAATAAAAGTGGTAGCACACAACAACGTGATCGTGGTGCCTCATGTAACGACAGCCGCAACGACCAGTGACTAATGGGCGATTATGGGCAGTAGCGATAATATAGGGGAGTTCACAATGACATTAACTATGAAATTTATTTAAATACATTCAAAATTTATTACTTGTATTTGAAATTCATTGCAATTTTACACTATATTCTATTTTTCTCACAATTTTATATTGCACTGATGGTTCACAAAGTAATATGGTAAATCATATTATAGGGGAAAAAAATATAACAAATGAGTTTAATATTTAAAGATTAATAATTCTATCTTATTTATCAAAACAAAAATGATAATTAAACTATGATTAATATGTTTGATGTTTCATATAAATGTGATTTTATAACACAAATAAAAATGAATTTCATAATTATATGTTTTTTTTTTACTTATTTATGTTTAACAATAATTTTTTTTAAGAAAAAAAAAATATAAATTAGTTATAAATATTGCTCATTTGAACTTTAGATATTATTTTCAATATTTTCTTATATACAACATATAAAATTATAGCTTGTGAGTATGAAAAGGTGTTCTAATAAGAGTTCAAATACTTAAATTAATTTTTAGAATTATTATTATGTAGAACATATTTTAGTATTTAATAAGTTAAATAAAATATAAAGTTATTTACATATTAATTTTCTTAAGGTCTACTAATTATCACTAAATTAATATATATATATATATATATACATAATCATTTTTTAAGGTAACATCTAATAATTTCTTTTAAATTTTAATAAAAAGTTAAAATCTAAAATTTAATATGTTGGAATATAGATCTTAATTAGATTTTTAAGGAATGAACGTTGCATGAATATTTAATACAATATCTTTCTAAATAGGTGTCTTCATGCATATAACCCTTCATATAAAATTCTTCACAAGTATGAATATGGAAGAAATTCGTTAAATTTTAAAAGAAAAGAGTCATGTTGCTTGCTAAAAATTGTTGACGATAGAAAAATCTTAAGCCTTAACTCCGTATATTTTGTCATCACACGGATATATTTGTGAGAGAACTAAATTTTTTATGTGGAAAAAATCAAAAAAAAAAAAGACGAAAAATAATTGATCTAAACAGATTAAAATAATTCACTAGAAAATTGAAAGTACGAACGACCCAATTTTCTCCTGAATTACTAAACATGCGAATATAAAAACTGACAATCAATTTTTATAATAGTTATTTGGCTACAATAATCATAATTGAACTATGAAAATTGTTGTGGGTAGCGACAACAGCTGTAGTTGGCTTTAAAAGTCATAATTGATGGCTAACAAATCTGTAGTTTGCTACAACAATTGCTCGTAGCGGTTCACATGCACTTCTCTTCAAAAGTTATGCTTTAGTTCGTTTCATTCTTTTATTCTCCTTGTAACTTTAAGTTAAAATGAAAACCTATTTATAATTTATAAGTGTGACATTTTGATAAATTTAACCAAGATATATAAATAGTACTTTAGACAAGCATTGATTCATTTGTACACACATAGTTTTTTTTAACTATTTAATTGTTGGACGACTTTAAAATTAGTTTATCTTAGACTCTTTGGATTCTTGTCGTCAAACAACTTAATCTGATTATAACCATGCCAACCTTCGATATAGCTTGATATTTCAATTGATGTATTAAAGTCTTATATTATAATTCAATTGTGGTGTTCGCTTGAACTCAATTGGACCACTCTCAATATGATTGGGAAGGTTTGTCAAGACGTTCCGTCTGACTATAAATTTGTTGAAATCAGACCAAAACTTATCTTGAATTTGAATTTAAATATTTCTTGCTCAAAATGTTCTGATATTTGTACTTTATAATAATCTTTTTAGGACACATAAATTACTCTCCTATCTTTGATTGTTGATGTTTGTGGTGTCCAAAAATATAAGTACTAGAAAAGGCCCTCACAACTTTAGATTTTTCAAAAAATTGTACATTGATTACAACAAGAATATTTTAAATTTAAATTTATTCATATTTACTCACAGAAGTTTCATCAAGTTTTAACATGTATAAGCAGATAGCTGTGCGACACTTTTTTGCTAACTCTTCTGGGTGGGAAGCGAGGCTTAGGGTCTAAACGAGTCGAACATGAGCGAGAAAATACCACTGTCGTTTTGAATCCGTTTATATTTCAAAAAAAAAAAAAAAGTATTCGTATTCAACTCATTTGCTTAGTTAGCCGAACACGAGTTATTCATAAACAAAAAATTATTTTGACAACCTTAGTCTCACAATCGTGATTTGTGGCTGAATTCAAATCTTATTATTTATATTAAAATAACATTTAAATATAACTTAATATATTTTTATTCAATTTTTTTAATTAATAATTTTAGTTGATTATAAATCTTTGTAGTTTTGTTAGTCAATTAAATTTTTAAAAAATACAACTTATCAATAATATAAATATATATAATTGAATTATTTCAAGCCAACGCGAGTTGAATTATTCGTGTTTGGCTTGTTTATATATTGAACGTGAAAAATTTGTTCATGTTTGGCTTGCTAACTTATGAACGAATTGGACACAGGCTTTTTAACGAGCCGTACACGAATAGCTTGCAAACAATCAACAATTTTGACATCCCTAGCGAGGCGTGGTGCCTTACACAAAACATCCAAATGAAATACGTCTGAATTAGATGCAGATCATAATATTTTAAGTGTTAGTGATAGAGTTGAACAATAATATGAATTAACACCCAAAATAATAGCATCTGTCCGCACATACGAGAGAAAAATTTTTGTATGTAAGATATACGCAGCGTTGCGTACATAATAGAGGTTATATGAGATTTATATCGATATTATATTTACGTTATATCTCTTATAACGTCCATGTAATATTTATATAACTTACCTGTAACCTACTGGAACTTACAAATAAGTTCTGCGCTTCTGCTTTCACATATATATAGGTTATATGTAGATTTAAAAAAATTATATAAAGATTATAAGAGATATAATGCAAATATAATGTCGATATAACCCTCCATATAAACTTTTTTTTTTTTTTTTTCACATATTTGCTTGAGCAGCAAATTTTTTCCCACGTATGAAGCTCAGACCCCGCGCACTGTCGTCCGTCTGCAAATTTGAAGCACAGACCCCGCGTAATGTCGTGCTAACCGTCGTCGATATTGTTGTTCTGCGTTTTCCTCCACCTCTCCCCTGAAAGTCGACTAAAATTCTCCGCTTGCGGTGTCTTATGCTTGGTCTGAGTTATTGTTCTGAATTCGTTAGGGTCCGTTCGTTTCCGCAGCTTAGGTTAGGGTTTCTTGGTAGGTTTTCCTTCCCATTTTGATCCCGCTTTTATGGGAAGTAAGGCATCATACGAGCAAGTAATCCTCGTCAGATCCGTGGTTGGCGAGGATCTCTCCGAAATGGACATAATCCGCGCTCTTCATATGGGCAACAACGATCCCTCTGCCGCAATCAACATTATACTGGACACCCCACATCTTCGGGAGAACGGGAGTGCTGTCAAGCAATCTCCTGCTTTTGCCAATAGGAAACCTGTTTTTCACAGCGAAGAGCCTGCGCAGAAGCCGAACTCATGCGCTAACTTATTTGTAGAACCTGTTACTAGAAATACTTCCATTGCACCGTCTGAAGCTCCTTCCAGCAAATCTGTTCCAGGAAACGATGAATGGTGGCTTCTTGGAAGTTCGGAGCTCACTGGCCTTTCTACCAGCAAGGGAAGAAGGTTGAGGGCGGGTGATCCAGTGACCTTTTCTTTCCCTTCAACTAAAATATCAAATATTTCTACAAAATTTTCTGGTCGAGGACGTGCAGCAGCTTCTTGTTCGGAGATTGTCCGATTTTTCTCTGAAGAACACGGCGAGGTTGGCGTGATCTCATCTTTCTATTTTATTGAGGCTTCAGAATTCCTGTTTTCTTATTCCATGGATTTGACTGATACTACAATAATCTCATTCGAACCTCATTGTTGTTCTGCATTGAAGATTGGTCGCATACCGAACGAATGGGCTCGTTGTCTTTCACCGCTCATCAAGGAAAAAAAGATTAAGATCGCGGGTTTCTGTAAATTTGCTCCGGATGTCCTCTGCATCATGGATACAATCGTTTTGTCAGTCAGGTATGCCTAAGGTAATCGGATCCTAAGAAATGAAGCTATTCGATAGGTTTAGCGACAGAACCAGTTATAATTCTTCTGCTAGCATTTTATGTGGTTTGATTGATCTTCGATACAGTGTTTATATCAAGATTTCAATGTTACGCAAGTGTCATCAAACACCACTTAAGGTCGCCAATTCTGGTACTGATGAATCTACGATTCATCCACTTCCAGCCTTGTTCAAATTGCTGGGGCTAACTCCATTTAAGAAGGTTGAGTTTCACGTATAGTTCAAGAAAGTTAACTATCTTTCATTGCAGTTTATTTTTCTATATTTTTTTCTACTTCCTTCTCCTAGTATCTCTCGTAGGCTCTATTTAGTATTGTTTGTTTGTTTTCACTCAAACAAAAAAATTGCAGTTTTAGGGACTGTTTGGTAACAACTTTAGCTGCTTTAGTAAATGGTGTAAATCCAGATTTATAACAGCAGGATTTAGTAAATTCAGGATTGAAGTAAAAAAAAAAAAAGAGAAGAAAACTAAGAAGAAACGAGATTTGTGGAATCCAGGATTTAAAAGTGCCTTTTTTGCTATTTGGCAAGTTAAATCCCACTTAAATCTGTTACCAGACAACTTAAAGTGTTTGGTATAACACCTATGAGAAAATGAACTGTTGTTTTAAAGAAGAAAAAGACATTTTTGGGACTTCATTTTGGATATGTAATTAGAAAAGCGATTTTTATGAATTATAGTTTTTCTATCTTATTAATTAGTTAATTATTTATTTTATTTATTAATGAATATTTTGGATTATTTTGTTATCCCATAATTATATAAAAATCATAATATATCCATTTTAGTCATTTTATCAACTCATAATTTTGTAGCAGAAATTTGTCACCAAAGTAACATATCTCTCACAAATCCTTTAAACAACAATTTTAATGTGATACTACTAAATTCTCATTTGTTTACTTGATCACACAATGTTCATCCCCATCCGAAATATATTTGTGTGCCTTATTCCTTTATTGATGTGTCAATGCTCTTGAAGAATGAAATTTGCTTACAAAACAGTGTGATTAGTCCATATTTCATCATAATGTGGCTTTTCATTTTAAGGATTTGAACCTTATACCTCCACTTAAGTGATCAAAGATTGGTGGCTCAGTTGATAGTTCCAAAGAAGTGCCATAAAATATTCATGTCTGTCATAAATCAGATTTTGTTGGCAAAAACATATATCTTGTAGGCTGAGTGGGTCCGATAAGCTCAAATACTCAGAAGATACAAATTTCGTCAAAATAATCTCTTAAGGTGACCCCCAACCATATTCCCAAATTTCCAGCTGTTCTGTATCAGTTGTCGAGCTAAATTGTCGAACTGACCCGCTGGATTATCTCAGTGAATTTTTCAAGAAGACTGACCCAACATGCTAATCTACTGAGCTCACATTTCTTGGAATTAACAAAACGCAAAATTCATGACTTACGACAAGAATCGACATGTCATATTATCATTTATGAGCCGCCTTACATACATGTCGTAATCTTTTCATCAAGATACCCTGGATAGACTTTGTACATCATGACTCACATTTTTTTATATTTTTTTTGAACATTTATGAGATAGGTGCATAGAAAGATTCAAGGGGATCAACACTCCGTGCTTCTTTTGGAGGATCTCATGTGTAACTCTCATGGGACCTCACTTGCCCCCCTCCTCTCATTAGATCATCTTCTTAGCTCTGCCAGAGAAGGATTGAGAAACAAAACACATAATTAGGCTTGACGAACACATTCATCCTCTTCATTTACCTTCCTTGCACCGGTCTCTCCCGGTTTGTGTGAAACCACCAACAATATGGGCCCCGACGTCCTAAATGGATTCAAGACTTCATATTGTGTTTTTTTTTGTATTGAAATAACTAGTTTTTAGAATAGTCCACTGCATGCTCTATAATCCTATGATTATTTTTGTAAGAAATATGTGAAGTTATTTTTGTTGTTGTATGGTATAATTCTGTATGCTGTGCTATTTTTTGAATGTTGGTAAATTGGGCAGCCTCTTTGTTATGCATTATTTTTTTGGAATTAGTTTGTGAGTATTAAATGATTTGGTAAACTACTGATTCAACGTAAATGAAGCTAATTTGCAGATTTGGGTTAAAACTTCGAAGTTCATGTTTGAAATTATGAGGTTACATCTTCCTTTAGGATGGAATACAATCCCATAGTGTCAATTTTTCATCTATTCCGTAAATTCAGTTTTTTTGATATCTTCACCTGATATTATTCTTGGTTAGCCCAATTCTTCTTGTACAACATTGGATACAGAACGCCAATGGCAGGAAATTTTGGCAAGAGAAATGCCTTATACATGTGGAGAAAACCAATTTGAACAAAGATGACAGGCTTTGGAATTTACAGCTTTACAGCAAAGGCTTAGGGTTTTGGTTCTCCAAACTTCTTTCTAGAAATGGAAGCTGAGGGATCAAGAACTTTCAAGGCAGATAAAAACAAGAATACTGGACAAGCCAGTTTGTAGAATCAACCAAGGCTAAGAATCAGTTGTCCCTTCTCTTTGTTCTCCCATCTTTCCTTCTGCACCAAAGGAAAAATCCACCCACTACTGCTGCCAGGCGACCACCTGCCCTTAGAAGCCGCTGCCTTCTGTCTTTGACAACCTCCAGAGATGAGAGTTCTGAGCTTTGGGATCAATTGTGGCGGAGTCTGGGGCACTTCTATGATTCCCTTCTTATCCCTCTCCTCCGAAATACCGGGACAAAAACTGAAATTGAAACTCTTAAAACTGATTTCTCTACAACGGATGGGGTATTTTTAGGGGAACTATTCCAAATAACGTTTATGTCATCTTAATTACTAATTTACCATTTTGGAAAAAGAAAGAAAAACATGTTCTCTAATAAATAATTTATTATGGAAAGGACTCTAAACCAAATTATGTCAACATCTACCATGTTCTCATCAACCAAAGACTTCTGTTTTTTTTTCCCCCCTTCTCTCTTTTTTTTTTGTTTGCAATTTGATGGCAATTATAATTAATTTTCTCAGTAGTGTTTTTTTTAAACCCTAGTTTATACTGATTTACAACGTTTCCCTCGTGGCGTTTTATTGATTTATGACTACTTTATAGGTTTTTTTCTTGTAACGAGTGTCTAGCTTCTTTATGTTTATGTTCTCATTTATCATTTAATGGGTAATGATTATATTAATTTTTGGTACATTAGCACTTGTTTTCAATGTTGGTTTCTGTCAGTATCTTACTAGATAGTTTATTTCTGCCTGTTTTATTGAGCATTTCTGTACAGTACCTTTTTCTTGCATAGTTTTACTCAATACCTATATGAAAGAGTATTTTTACAAATCCTCATATTTTCCAGTTCATGATCACGTTTAATTTTTCACTAGACTTGTAGCAAGTATCAAACATTTCATCTTCTCTTTACATGCCTTGCTCTTGTTTGGATCAGTATATCCTTGATTTTGTTACGATGAACATGTAGTTTCCCACTTGATGGCATGTATAATATGAACGTGGAAAGTGATTTAAAATGTGTGAAAGTCATCAATTGTTCAATTAAGTCACACTTCAATAAGGTTTGGAAATTTTAAATCTAGTTGACTCCTTGTGTTAGTTTGGACATCCACATGTTGACTTTGAGATATGTAACAGGAGTAGTGTTAACCTAACAAGACTTCAACCTATGATCTAGAAGATGAAATAGCAACTTTACACAATGATCCAACTAATTAGCGGAGTTAAAACTTATGTAGGAAAAGCAAGGGATAACTGAATTCAACCTCCATGAAAAGTCATTTGTTCAACGATCACTTCCTCAGAGCCTTTTCGAAAGGGCCATGTACTTACACTCGAGAACTATGAGACCAATATTAATAGACTTGTGTAGGAGGTAGCTCAGAGGTTGGAAGGGAAAGGGGGTGGTTAAGGATGTGGAAGGAAGGAGAACTATTGGCGATCTCTTTTTGCAATATTTTTGTGAAGTTTGAAGCATTTAGGTAACTTTCAAAGAGATTTCATGTATTTATCAAAGTAGTGAAATAATTGAAAAGTGTTTAAAAAACACATTTTAACTTTGTTTAGAGAGATAAATTATAGAGGTGAAATGGAGGTCAAAATAATTTGTTACGCCTCATGAAAATCTCTTTTTTTCCAATACAAGGCACAACAGAGATGCACAATATTTAGCTCAGATTTAAAATTGTGCAGTTGAGTATTGTGGTGTTTTATGTCTTGAGATGAGGTGGAAATCTTGAAGTATTTTGAGGCACAAACCGTACAATCATTAAGTTATATAAAGCAAGATTTTATTTTGGTTTGGTTTTTTCTGTTTTAACCAAATAATGCACACCCCTAGGTGGCAATAAATGACATGCAATTGATTTTCATCCAAAAAGTAAACCTTTTGTGGGAGATAGCATGTTTTCGAATTCTGATTTTTGTTTTTTTTTAAATCTTAAATCATAGAAATATTAAAGAAACGATGTCTTGGTACTAGCCTTTCTTATTGTCATGCAAAATCTCTAGATGTTGATCACTCCGTCTTTTTCACTCTCTCGCTTAGTCGAAGTTAACTTTTCTTTTGGATACATTTATTGTTGTGGTTCTACTTATAGAGGAAGTCTTAATTTGAATAAGATAAAATGTTGCAGAAATTTGGGAACTCTTTCTCTTATTTCTCTCAAAATTCTCATTATTTTCTTCCTCACGCATCAAATAGGAGTTTTCCATTATTAACATCTTACTGCACTTGCTGTCACTTTGATTTTTTAGAAGCTATCACTTCCATTCTACGAGGGCTACATTTTCGAGGGGTAAAAAATGAGAAAAATTATTTCTTTGGCAACTAAATGGTTGTCTTGTTTGTTTATTTATTGGAATAGATTTTGGGCGGATGGGTTGGGTGTGTTGAATTAGAAAAATAAATGTCGTAGGTTCATTTTGTTCTATTCCTGTATAGTCTTTGAATACTCTTATTTGGAAACAACTACTATATTTCTTAAGGAAGATTTATGTACATACCACTCAATTCCTATGTATTTACATATCTAACGGCTAAAGTTTACCTTTAACATACATACCACCTTAGCTATGCATGAAAAGGTGTATTTCACTTTTTAAATGTAAAAAAGGTAGTATTTTTCATGTGATGTGAAAAAGTTGGGGGGTATAAATATAAAAAGTTTAGGTATTTGATATGCAAATGGATAGGAATTAGGTGGTTTGTTTGTAAATGACTTTATTTTTTTAATAATTTAATTTTTTTCCCTCTCTTTCTCTCTCTTTTGACATCTCTTGATGACTTAAAAACAGGCTGAGTTAAGTCCTGATGATTTATATGGTAAAAAACGGACCATTGAATTGAAGGTACAATCTAACTCATATGCTTATGTAATTTTATTCTTGAGCAAGTGATATCAAATTATTGTGCTTATGCAGGGAATTCCAACAGAGCTTTCATCAACTGTACCAGCTGAAAAATTTAGAAAGTTACTTTCGCATGGAAGTAAAGCTGAAAATAATCAAGAGAACATATCAGATTTTGATGTAGATAATATTGCTGGAATTCGAGATGGCTCAGAACTAGAGGTATCTCTTCTTTTTTGGTGTTTTTTTCCCCCTTAAATTGTAGGATATTTTTATGCTTCTGCTTCACTAACCTTATTATTTCTCACCCTTTTTAGGAAATGGATCCACCTGAAACATTGCTGTGTGAATTGCGTTCTTATCAAAAACAGGCCCTTCGTTGGATGCTGCAGCTAGAGAAAGGAAGATGTTTAGAGGAGGCTGCAATAACCCTTCATCCGTGTTGGGATGCATATCACCTTCCTGATAAGTATGTTAAAATTAAAACTTCTCTTTAAACACAACAGCATTATAGTAACTCGCTTTTCTTATTGATAGGAATGATCACGTTATTTACTTGAATGCATTTTCGGGTGATGCTACTACAGAATTTCCTAGCACTCAGCAAATTGCTAGAGGATACACAAATAACGTTCTTTTGTTTTCTAATTTGTTGAAATGTATGTTGATTTGGGAAAATGTTTGAAGATTCTGGCAGATGCAATGGGATTAGGCAAGACTATAATGACCTTAGCTCTTTTGCTTGCTCATTCTGAGAAAGGAAAATCACCTACTTGTTCTTCAATTCAGAGCTCCAATGAAGATGGTAACGCTGGTGACGGTCTTGACAAGTTGTCTAGTGCTTCAAAAAAAGCAGCAAGCATCTATGGATTTACCAAGTTGAAATCAAAATCCATACTGGTTGGAGGTGGTAATCTAATTGTCTGTCCTATGACACTGTTAGGCCAGTGGAAGGTATGCTCATGCCATGTTTTGAAGCATGACTTGTGCTATTTTAATTATAAAATTATTCATATGAATTTATAGAGGGCTGAAAGGTTTATTTCTATGATATAACAGGCCGAGATTGAGGTACATGCCCAACAAGGCTCACTTTCTCTTTATGTTCATTATGGAGCAAGTAGACCAAAAGAAGCAAAGATTCTTGCACAGAGTGATGTTGTTCTTACTACCTATGGTGTGCTGGCATCAGAATTTTCGGCCGAGGTAACTGCTGCTAATATTTTAACAACCAAAGTATTTAACAGTTAAAAAAAAATTTCTTTTTATCTTGCAGAATGCTGACGAAAATGGTGGGCTTTACTCAGTTCAATGGTTTAGAATTGTGCTGGATGAAGCACACATTATAAAATCTTCAAAAAGCCAAGTTTCTATTGCTGCTGCAGCTCTAATTGCTGACAGAAGATGGTGTCTTACAGGGACTCCCATCCAGGTATACTCTATATAGTTTTGAGTATGCTATATTTTTTATTCGACTCCAAGTTAAGATAAATGTTTCATATTACTGTTCACAGACGATCCCAAGCAGTCCACGTAGGCTAGGTTTGATGATGCTCTGTATTTTTGTTGGCAAGCTACGTTGTTTATAAGCTTGTTTGTGTTTTTTGTCATCAATTTTGTAATATTTCATTTAGGTTCACAATAGCTAAATCATGCGTTCTTACAACCTTTTTTTGTCCTTAATGTCTTTAATCACAGTGCTATGTGTGATCATACACGAAGTTATAGCTAATATTTGGATCTCTTTATTGTCTTGCATTGCTGCAATGGTTTTGAATCTGTGTCCAGCTTAGACAATATAAAGGTTATATTTAATGGATACTAATTTACGTCTTTTTATTGATCAGATCTACTCTTCTTTATTTGTTGCATGATTTTATTCCCTATTGCCAATCAACTGATATTTGGCTATGTTTAGATTGCTATTTTTTTAAATCAAATTTTCTTGAAGTTACTGTTGTAAATTAGTTCACGATTGAATTTAAATTATCGAGAACAATCAAATGCAAGAATTTAGAACGCATAATATTACCAAGGATTTTTGTACAGATTCACCCAATTGAATAACTACTTTATTTTTTTATTGCTGCAAATTTCATTATGATAATAATTATGAAGTTTTAAAAGAGAAATTTAATGGCACACGAACTCTTTCTGTTTTTAATCTCCTAAATTTGAAACCATAACAACTATACCCTTTTGCAATGAAAATGTAATTATAGAAAAAAAAATATTATTATAAAATAATAATTCGAATAGACACCAAGATAAGCACCTGTTCGACTACGACTTAAGAGTCGTATTACACCATTCTAACAATCGCATGAGCACTTGAGAGTAAGAGAGAGCGGGAGAGATCGAGAGAGGAGAAGTTATTGTGGCTTATCCGACTCTAGCCGAACAGGAAGAAGAAGGAAAGGGGTTCATGCCTTACCGGATTTGTGTCATGCTCAATTGTGGAGGAAGGGGAGGCAGCGGTGTTGTACGCTGCGTTGGATTGAGCTGTGAGAAGGAAGGAGGAGGTGGAGATAACTTGCATTGGGTTGAGTCGAAGTCGAGAAGGAAGGGAGGAGATGCGACCTTCGGCACTGTGCTCACATAACAGAGGAAGAGGAGCTATGCGCTTCGAGCTATGCGTAGGAGAAGAGGAAGACGAGTCATGATTTCTAAGGTGCTTGCGTGCAAGAAGAAGAGGAGGGAGTCGAGCCAGTGCGCTACTCTATTGATTGCTGACGAGCCGCGAAGAAGAAGAAATGGGGTAGTTTCTGCTCACGTACAGGAAGAAGCCGAAGCTTCGTGCGTGAGCTAGGGCTGAGACCGAGCCTTTTAAAAATATGTATGTGTAATATTTAAATTAATATTGTTAGATGAATAATTATATTAATGTGTGAGGGTACGATTATTTAATTAATTAATGTAGAGTTTATTGAAATCTGGGATTAAACAAATAATGAATTCAAATTCGCAGAAAAGTTTGGGAGGGGTGTGCCAGTGAGATAGGAGATTGATCTAAACAACTTATAAGGTAAATCTTCATTTTTAAAAGCAAAATTAGTCTAATGCTATATACTTATTTTTTATGTTAAAATATAGTTTATTTGAATCAGGGATTTAAGAAGTTAGGTTCAAAAGACTAAGTATTTTGGGACCGTGAAGTTTGTAAGGAGAATGAAAGAGATAAGTGGAGGTAATTTACATTTTTTTTATTCTCATGTTTGAATAACATTAAGTAGATAAAATCTTTTGTGTAACTGATATGAATATTTAATTCAATGATCTATTTAAAATGAAGGGTTCTTAATTTAAGTATGCACTTTCAATTAATATAGGTGGTTGTCCAAAGGAGTGAAGTGAAGGAATAAGTATTTTTAGAGGTCTCCAAGTCAATATGAGTAATTATCTTCTTATTTGTATTGAATTTAAATTTTTTTAAAGAAAGAATCTCTTTAATGCTTTAGCCAATCATTTTATGTTTGTATGAATGTCGTAACTTAAGAATAAAAGGATAAATGAAAGGAGAAAAAAGAAAACAAATGCTTAATATCTTTTTAAAAAATGAAGTAATTTAAATGAAATGAAATGAAAGTTAAATATTTAAGTCGTACAATATTACCCTATGACAGAGGATGTAATGCACTTGTTCACATTAAAGGAAATAATAAAAATGTGCATTCGGGTGCAAATTGAGGTGTACATTTGGGGACATTTTGTAGGGTGTCTTCGGACACATTTTGAGGATGCATTCGGACACATTTTTAAGGATATCTTCGGATATGACAGTAATCATGTTATGACTTTAAAAAAAGTTAAAAACGGTAATTACTTAAAGTGAAATGTGAACGACTAAAGTTAAAGCGTTAATAAAATTTACCGTAAGCATAAGAAATTTAATGTATATTAGATTATATATACTCACTAAGTTTTACTTACAGTTGCAGTTATATTTTCTTTTAGAAGAAAAATTTTAGGGGATATCTCTGATAAGAGAGACTTTGTTTGCTAGAGGAGGATCACTACTGCTGGGTATATTTCTTGTGAGAATAGTTTCTCTTTATTATTTCGTTCGAACATTGATATATTGTTCGATAATGGCTTAAGATGTTATTTTTGGATGTTATTGCTTCTTGATGCTTTTGATTTTATTGTACGTTGTGGCTCAGTGGTTCTTCTATATGTATTGGAAGTTAAAAAAAAAAGATAGTTAGATGTTAATACTGTCGGACCGCTGTTCCCGCCTTAGTTAATTCTAAACACCGAGCCGAGTTTTGACAGAAGTGGTATAAGAGACAATTAGGTTGGATCATAATCTAAAAGAGCTATTAGGATGATTACTTTATTCATAAGTACTGTTGATAAAGATTTCATTCGTATCTATTTATAATCTTTTTTATGCTATTTTAGAAATATGGAAAATCAGGGGGAGTAGGTTAGAGATGATACTGTAGAAGCTGTTACACCCCAAAAAATTACTGTAAATGCATATGCATTTACTAAGGTGATGATTGCAGCAACGCAACTGATTAAGAACTCACAGACTCAAGCAAGTTTCGATGAAGGAGGTCAGATGGATAAGTACCTAAAATTATTTTAAAATTTGAGACCACTTCTCTTTTCTGAAGGAGGACTGGTAGATGCTGAAAATTGGTTGTTGCGAGTGGAGAAGATTCTCGATGGATGGCCCTCCTAAGAGGATGGTTACATTGACAACTATTGCATTGGGGGGAGAAGCAGAAAGATGGTGGCGTAACAACTGCAAGAGAATTTTTTGGTAAAACCAATAATATGATTCAGTGGAGCGAGTTCGCGAGCATTTTCAGAGATTGGTTTGTACTATTGTTCGCCAAGAGATAAATACAAGGCAAGTTTATCTGGTTGGTGAAGGGTGATCATTTGATTATGCAGTATGAAGCTGAATTCACCGTGCTCGCTAGGTATGTACCACAGTTGATTCCTAATGCAAAGGAGAAATGCCATTGATTTTTGCTAGGGCTTAGGGATGTGATTGGACAACCATTGATTACCCTTGGAATCAATAATTACTTAGTTATGGTGGAGAGAGCTTGGAGGATTGAGCTAAATCTTGAGGCTACTCAGAAGAGGAGGGACATTTAGAGGAGAAGAAATTCAGAGGGGTCTAGATTTCCAGAGCTCTCAGTGCAGTCCTTCCAGTCAGGCGAAACAAGTGCTAAGAAGGCTAGATTCAGCAGAGTTGGCACCCAATTTGAAGTGAAGAAGTGTGATAAATGTGGAAGGTCTCACAAAGGCGAGTGTCTATCTAAATCAAACACTTTTTTTTGGTGCCACTAACCAGGACATATGACGAAGAATTGCCCTAAATTGGGTCAGAATGCTCCAATAGATTCCAGAAGCAGTGTTGTACTACCTCAAAGGAGATATGGTAGATTGAGGGGAGCTGAATCTACAGACTGAATGTAGGTCAAACTCAGTAGAATGCTCAACCCAGAGTGTATGGATTATCACAGAAGGAGGCTAAGGAATCCCCTGACGTCATTACATGTATGTTTTCCTTTTAACAATTTTAACCAACATGCTTTAAGCATCTTAGGATTCATGTCATGTCATACGTAAAACAAGTAAGGTTTTAAATATATTAATAAAGTAACTTTAAATGCTTAATGCGATAATTTTAAATGATAGATATCATATATCTTCAAAGTTGACCGATGAGAGTGTTATTTGATTCATGGTGTCACATTCTTTTATAGAGTATGAACTGTCTAAAGTGATGCAATTGAATGTCATTTCAATGACTGTGATACTGTCAACTAGAATTTGAAATAGTACTTTTATGGAAGTTGATCAATAATGTGAGGTGAAGCTTATGATTGGTGGAAATGGTTCTAATGTCCAAATTATTGTGTTGCATTTGGTGGAATTTGATGTGATTTTAGGCATGGATTGAATGTTTGAAAACTGTCACTATTGATTGCAATAAGAGACCGTCAAAATAAATCTACCTGGGGAGGTAAAAGTTAAATTTTCTGGTGATAGAGAGCTGACATATATGATAATTACCTGCATGAAAGCTTGCAAATTATTGAATCAGGGAAGTCAGGGTTTTCTTGCGCAGGTGACAGATACTTCTAAGGAAGTTTTTGGGTGATATTCCAGTGGTAAGAGAATACCTTGAGGTGTTCCTTGATGACTTACCAGGGCTACGACCAGTGCAAGAGATTGATTTCACTATTGGGCTCTTACCGGGTTCTAAGCCTGCATCCAAGGTGCACTACAAAATGGCATTTAAAGAGTTGCGGGACCTGAAGAACCAACTGCAGGAATTGTTAAATAAGAGATTTATTAGGCTAACACCTCACTTTGGGGAGCTCCAGTGTTATTTGTGAAGAAGGATGAGAGCTTCAGGATGTACATTGATTACAGAGAGTTGAATAAGCTCACTGTTAAAAATAAATA